AGAAAAGAAATCATGCTGTGTATATGGCGGGATCAACTTGGTGGCATGTATTATGAGTTGCTCAAACCAAACAGAGCCATTATTGGACCCCTCCATCAAACACAATTGATGAGACTGAGCCAAGAACTCAAAGAAAAATGTGCCCACTCCTACTCCAGACATGACAAAATTATTCTTGCTGTCAAAACCTACTCGGAAACACTCTATAAGAAAATTTTCCTTCTCCGCTGTATTTACTAGACACTGCTCCTTCTGATTATTACTTGTTTCAATTGATGATGCATGGCCTGTCTCAGCAGCACTTCACATCATATGACGATACCAAAAATTGGACTGATTTGTGGATAGTCTCAAATGGCAAAATGTTATTCTGATGTGGTATCCATGAGCTGCCAGAAAGATGGGAAAAATTAGTGATTAGTGATGGACAATACTTTGAATTAAACATAACATACCAATCTTTTACATTAAATGCTCAATTTTTGATAAAAATATTGGCGGAAACTTATTTGTTCTCCCGATATACATAATTTTAATAGGTGCAATGCCAAAGAAATGCACAATGGCAAATTTGTGCAATTCTTTTTTTTTTTTTTTTTTAAAGCCAAGATAACACAGAATGATGCAATATAAATAGGTTACAATATTTAGCACATTGGATCAAGCTTGGAATTTTATGGTTTAAGTGCAAAGAACATGATATTTAATAAGTAAAGGTAAAACATTTCGTCAAATATTAAAGAATTTTTGATTAACAAACTCGATGATTTCAAAGCGAGCAATGGCAACACTGTACCGGGAGGGGGGAGGGCATTTCTATCTCCAGCACATGAGACTGTGTATTGGAAATTCTAAAGATATGCTCTTTTAAACATTTTGTGATATTGCTGTTGAATTGAATTTTATGGTTTAAGTGCAAAGAACATGGTATTTAATAAGTAAAGGTAACACGAAAAACGTTAAAAAAAAAAAATCCTTTTGCATAATATAAAATCTGAAAGCTTTCAGATTTTTATTAACTTATTCAGATCTTTATTATTTTTTCACATAAACATTCTTATGGCTGGGTAGATAAAACCAAAGAACCTTTGAGAGGTATATATTGTTCGGATGAAGGTTTTTGGTTTATTTGATGATGGGGCTATCTGCCAAAGGGAAGGGGATGCCATTAAGAAGGACTTTCTAAGGGAAAGTGGCTTGTACACATGTTACATATGGGAAAACTCAGAAAACACCCATGCAGGCAGCCTGTTCAATTAAATTTGAACCCTGGACTACCAGTGCTCAGGAACTTTAATGCTTCGTTGCAGGCGGGCTATTCAAATGAAAGTAGAAAAAAGAAAGGGGGGAAGACGGGAAGATATAATGGAAACACATCATCATGAAACCAATAAGTTTATTATTATTATTATTATTTTAATTAGATAGACTGCCGTAAATGTGTGCCAGCTGGAATCATGAGTATCTTTTAATGGATAAGTATGAAAATATTCAACTAAAATTAAAACAACATACGATAATCCTAAAACAAGCAAATTTGGCACTATTTTTTTAATGTATCACACTATTCTGCAACAAAATCTTCTCACTGAAATATGAGGCGTATTCGGAAACTAAGTACCGTTTTGAAAAAAAAAAAAAAAAAAAAAGTAAAACAATTTTTTCCGAATCCAATTTTATTTTTACATGAAAATACATGTCTTAAACTATTTTTCAACATAGTTTCCGCCAATGATCAAACACTTGTCATAGCGGGTGACCAGTTTTTGTATACCATCGTCAAAGAAACTTCCCGCCAGTTTCGATAACCACGACTCCACAGCATTTTTCGTGTCATCGTCTGATGCAAAGCGCTTGCCACCAAGCTCGCGCTTCATGTGCAGGAACAAGTGATAGTCGGACGGCGCCAAGTCCGGGCTGTACGGCGGGTGATCAAACTGCTCCCAATGAAACTGTCGAATTAACGATTGAGTGACACCAGCAGTATGGGGACGAGCATTGTCATGGAGCAACACAATTCCTTTATTGAGCATTCCTCTTCGTTTGTTTTGAATGGCACGCTTTAGTTTTGTTAAAGTCTCACAATATCATGCCGCATTAATGGTTTTACCTCTGGGAAGAAATTCAGTAAACAAAATGCTTTTCCTATCCCAAAAGATAGTTCACATGATTTTTTGAGATGACATTGTCACTTTGAACTTTTGTTTTTTCGGAGAATGAGTGTGTCTCTACTCCATCGATTGTTGTTTCGCTTCTGGTGTGAAATGACACACCCAAGTTTCATCATCTGTCACAATTTGGTTTAAAAAGTTTTCTCCCTCATCACTGTACTGCGTGAGAAATGTCAGGGCACTACCAAGTCACTTTGTGAACATTAGTGAGCATTTTTGGAACCCATCCGGAACACACTTTGCGATAATTCAAGCGGTCAGACACAATTTCGAACAAAACAGTACGTGAAATTTGTGGAAATGCCTCTGAAAGAGTTGTCATTGTGAAGCGTCTGTTCTCATGAATTGCTTCGTCAACTTTCCTTACCAAATCATCGGTGACAACAGAAGGCCGACCACTCCGATCCTCACGTGGACATTTGTTCGACTTGCATTAAACATTCTTATGCCACTTTCTCACCATTCCATCACTTATCGTGCATTCACCGTAATCTTCTGTCACTTGACGATAAATTTCGGCCGGTTTAACACTCCTCGCGATCAAAAATTTAATCACGGCACAAATCTCACAGTCAGCGGGAGAACTAATTGTCTTAAACATTTTGAATGTGCACAGCAAACTGAAAACACAACATAGAGCAACCAAAATGGCGACAATTGAAAGTCAGTGAACAAGAAAGACTAGTGCGCATGCGCGGGACGCCTACCACAGCGCTAGAATGAAACGATACTTAGTTTCCGAATACGCTACGTAGATGAGTATTCTATATAAATTAGATCTTGCTAACTTTGTATTTACTATGTTTATTGGCCTTTAAAACTGGCCTTCAAAATCACCATTTGTTGATAATAAATGAAGAATGTTTTAATGGCAAACTGCAAGCAATTTCTAAGCAAGAAAAAAAGCTATTAATGGAGTAATCATTTTTACCAGGGACAAACAGTATAATAATTATATCATAATTATATCATAATAATTAGTCTCATCAGAAATACAGTACCCAAATGCAAAGCCTGGCTAATCGGCTAATCAACTAAGGGTTTTCCCAAAACTCTCAATAATCACTTTTCTTGCATAAAGGCATAACACAAATATATATATATATATATAATACCTTTCTGGCCTTTATATCTTCATGTACATTCACTGATCTTATTTATATTATTTTCTATATTATTTTTATATTTTCTTTGATTTGCTTTTACAAAGTTTGCATTATTTATCTTTTTTATAATCTTCTATGTTTATTTCAACTTTACTTTGAATTCGATTTCATAATGACAATTTCCAATGTTTAATTTCTACAAATTATATAGTACTCAAATACATAAAGATGAAAGTGTCGGGGAAGTTTACTCGAGTTTTACAGGATTTCTCTACAGTAATTGATTTTTACTCCAAATTGAATTGACTAAATGACTAAAATGCTTCATGAGAATAAGTTCTTTGAGTATCAGCATTGGTTCATAATTCCTACTATTCGCGGAAATATTTGGCCTGACTAGAATTGCCGGTTTGGTTTTAACTTTAAAGAGTAGACGAAACTAACGAAAACTTTTTTAGAGTAAAGACTTTCGTATTTACGTATTTTTATCAATTATTGTTCGTTGAACGGGTGTTGGTTTGTTCCCCTTGAAAAGTCAACTAATTTCTGATCAATGACAATGATTACATGTTTTAATTTTTCCTTTTACAATTGAAATATTATTCTTTGTGATGATTTAACTCCAGTCCCCGTTAAAACATTATTAACATTTTGCTTTCAAATTACTTCAAAACATCTTTCAAAAATAAACTTACCAGTATGGATGCACACTTTTAAAATAATTCTACTTTAATTAAACTTAGGAGATAATATAATCAATTAATCAATACTGCTTAGGAAATAAATTATATATATATATATATATATATATATATATATATAAAGGGATGATAAGTATAGGATAATTTGCAGACATCCTAACACCTAAGGCTTATGTCCTGTGTGCATACATGGACTCAGGCCTTGCTCATATGAAATAATGCAAACAAAGTTTTAAATTTTATGATACTTATAGACTGAAGAGAAATTAAGCTGCCATATAAATGAAAAAAACTGGTAACTATCACATATGCTTCCAAAACAGACTTGGAGAGTTATACTTTATTAATGAATTTCTCTGTATTTCTAGACCTTAATCTGTTAATATGAAAAGGGATTTAAAATATTTTGGCATTATTTAGGAATGTGCATAATTATAAATAACAGAAAAAATGTTGTAATGTAAATTTCAATGTTAGTCTTAAGGTTCTAGCATGACTGCAGATAGGGTTGCAAATAGGCTTACCATACATTGCTTTATTATGGAACAGAACCACTGAGCAAGGGATAACTATTACATAATAAAAAATCAAATTAAATAATGGTAATTTTTTCTAGTTCTATTTATCTAACAAGCAGATAGTTATAATGAGTTAACTTTTGATGTTTGAGGTGAACTATATGATAAAAAAGAGTAAACATTAATTTTAAACAATTTCAATTTTATTTATTTTCTTGTTGCTCTTAATTTTAAAGGGTGATTAAAAAAATTGATAGCATACCTGGATTCAATAATGTAAAACATGCATGGAAAACTAAAAGTTAATCAAAAGGAAAAAAATACTTTTAAACAAAGAATAGTATAATTATTCATATATCCTGCAAGCTACAGAACATTATGTAAAAAAAAAAAAATTATAAATACTTAATACACCATAAAACAAAAAGTTGTGTTTAACTTATACTGAAAATATCTATCAGATATATTAGACAAGACAAAAATGGCAGTATTTTTAATACTTACCTTTAATGTATCACCTGAGAAAAAAACCTTGTCATCATGCACAGAAAGTACAGTTCCACAACCACCAAATCTGTCATTTATGCAACCATATGTCACATCAGAAATGCCTTGTTTTGATTTAAGAAATAAAGAGTTTCACAAAAAAACATGTTATAGGCATACAAAATGCAATAAAACAAATGATCTTATTCACAATAAAAACTTATTCATATCACAATGTTACAACAACTAGTAATATAATTTCTAACATAAAGATCATTAATCTTTAGACAGACCATCTATATTTCTACTTCCTGGTTTAACTGCAAGAGGTAAATCAAAGATCTAAAGGATGTGAAAGAAATAAATTCCAGCCTGTCTATTTTATGCAAAAGGAAACATGTCCAATCAAACAGGTAACCTTGTTTACTAGAGCAAAATCACAAAAAGATAAAATGTAATGATGCCACATTATATGGATCATAGCAGAGTATGTGAAATGCACAGCTTCATGAAGAGAAAGGCAACTTTATTAAATCTGAAAAAAAATCTTAGAAGTACTCTCACTTTCAAATTATATTTGTCAAATTTGATGAACCATGCGATATCATAAGTCTTTTTTCAATTTAAATAATTATGTAAAAACCGATACTTTCATTTTTGATTTCTATTTGCCAAATTTAATGAACAGCACAATATCATAGCAGTCATTTTTCAATTTAAACATTGTATAAAAAATGCTGACAATTTTTAATTTACTAAGAAGTGAGGAAGATGCTGCATAATTTTTTCAGGAAAAAGATATATCACCTCACAATCGATAAATGTGCAAATGGCCAAAAAATGAGATTATATGTAAATGAATGTATGCGGAGGTACAACACGAAAAGTTGTAAACAAAGAAAAAATATTCAATTTGACAACTGGTTTAGTGGTTCCAGAATACCATTCCTAACAGCGCTGTGTTTCATCTACTGTTGGACAGAGGAACAAACATCACTTAAGTGATGTGATAAACAACTCAACATGCATCAAAATACCATGACTGACTAGAAAAATTTTATGACAGAGATTTGTTTTCTGGATTCCCTAGATCTCGCCAACCTAAAAGGATGAAGAGTTGAGCCTGGAGAAATAGTCAAAATTGAGAGTTTTTTTATACGGTGAAAAAATAACGCTGTAAGAGTACTTCGACAACTGTGGATATCTGGCAGGTTATGCCGTGAAAGTGGCAAGTGCTTTCCTGTTCAAGTTCCATATCAGAAAGCAAGGACATTGATATCAATAATTATAGACCATGACAGGTTTGACAATATATTTAGGTTGTTAGCGAGCCTATAAAATAGATGAGCTTGAAAAGGCTGGTTACAGCCATTTAATTGTAAATCATGTACAGTGCAAAGTCCATAATCCAGAATGATCTATAATCTGGACATCAAAGCCACAAACTTTTCTTTGGTATGCTTTACGCATGCGCGTTTAATGTATAATGGACGGTATAAGCTAGGCTAAAATTATCTTTACCGATTCTAAGGCATTTCAGCTACTGTTACAGATTGCGCTGATCCTTAATCTTCTAATTGGATCCGGCTTATTATTTCTTGCAGACTGTTATAGCAATTATATAAAAATTAAGCTTGAACTTTCGATTATGTCAAAAAGAGTTTCAATTCTGGAACTGTCAAAGGATCTACAAAGTGAAAGCATGTTTCGATATCCATCAAACAAAAAGTGGAATTGCTGCAAAAAATGGATAAAGGCATATCTGTCTCAAAATTATGCAAGGAGTATGGCATTGGATGACACAAAAAAGAAAAAGGAACTTTTTTGAATTTTTGTGGAAGCATTTTAAACAACTTACATTGAAAGAAATGTTCAATAAAGTAAACACATAAATATTAAGCTCTTTTTTTTTTTTTTTTTTTGTAAATTTTGATACCCTTTAGATCATAATTGCTCTTTATTTCATAAATTATGGTTTCATATTTTTAATTGTATAATTTCTGCATGCCATCTTACCAGATTTAAATTGATGATCTATAATCTGGAAAAAACCCTAATCCAGAATCGTTGAAGTCTTGACGAGTCCGGATTACGGACTTTGTACTGTATTTACTTTTGTTGACCCAACAACAGGTGCTCACACCCAATATATGAAAAGAGTAGGATGCTCTGTTAAATGGCAAAACAAAAATCAAAGGGGGTACGACTCACAATCATCTAGAGTCATATCTTGCAAAATTCATATGGAACTCCTCTGGGTAAGATGTCTTTTAATGCCATATTAAAAACAATTGCAGGGTTATAGCACCCACAAACTACATATAAGTACAGTACAAAGTCCAAGATCTGTATTCATCGGGACTTCCACAATTCCAGATTTTTCCGGATATTAGATCATCAGTTTAAATCTAGTAAGATAGCATCTAGAAATTATAAAATTAAAAATATGAAATCGTTATTTATGAAATAATGAAGCATTTATAATCTAAAGGGTGTGTATATATATATAAAGAGCTTAATATTTGTTTACTTTATTAAACAAATTTTTTTTCAATGTAAGTTATTCAAGTTGCTTCGTTTATTGTGCTAATACTTTCTCCTTAATTCTGTAGACAGACACAATTTCTTGTTCAGTTACATTGTTGAAATCTTGTAATTGCTGCGCCCAGAATTCCGACTAACTTGTCAATCGAAATTTTTTCATTTTCAGTAACTTCTCTGTCACTTTCTTCACTATCGGTAATGGCATTTGCTGGATCTAGAACCATACTACAGATTTTGCCCTCCATCAATTGACTGATGATTGTGGAGCATTGTTATCACAATGAAAAACTTCATTTATTACCGCTTCTCCGCATTTCTGTACAAAATCCATTAATTTGAAAAATTTCACCTTTCGTTTGCGATATCCAAAAACCTTTAAAATTCACGGTTATCATAAAATTTAGCTATCATCCACTATACATATTTGGCGATGTATCATGCGATTGGCGACTAACGACAAGTTGTTCTGCTAAATTTCATCTTGCTTCTATCACGCAATGAGACAATAAAGCTTGAATTGTATTAATTTAGTTATTTATTATGCTTATACCCATTTCTTGCATATTCTTAAGGCTTATCTGAGTCCTGAATAAGTAAATTCCCACATATACTGAAGGCTTATTGAGAGTGGGCACTAGGTATCTTACGGACCATTCCCACTGGGGTTTATCTGAGCTAACGCAGACAACTGATGTAGCTGACTCATCTCCAAAACCAATTTTTTTCCCACAGGGCAGCAAATTGGAAAATCTGAACTGCAGGCATAGTTGACACATGGACCTGACTCCGTTAGCTCAGATAAACGAGTGGGAACGGCCTCTTACCACCTGATGCATTCCCTGTGGGTCCTAAATTCTGCTGCCCGGTGCGGCCATATGAGACCAAGCACTGGTTTTGGGTTTACATGAATAACAAATCAGTTATTCTTAATTCAAATAGCACTAAATGCAAACTTTTGGTCTATAAATATCATTAACAAAATCTATTTTTAGCATATGGAAAGAAATGTTTATTAAATTTTTCTCATCAACATTTCTTACCGCATTTAACTTAAATCTGTAATCATCACCAAGCGTAATGTCAACAGTTACCATACTTTTTATTATTCAATTACTAACAAAAAAAAAAAAAAAAAAAAAAAAAAAAAAAAAAATTGTTTAGGCATCACTACATGAGTCATTACTCAAGTTGTCATGCATTGATAAACATGCAAAATATATTAAATAATGATTTGCCAGGTTGCCATTAGGTAAATATTAATAGAATGTAAAATCAATGATGTATGTATGTAGAATGTTTTAGTTTGAGATGTATGCCAAGCAGAAATGCAGCAACAGAGCCAAATTATTGATCATACATATTTATGCTAAAATGATTGTTTCTTCAATAATGAGGTATTTTATTTAGTGCTGAAGTGAAATTAAGAATAGGGACTCTCCACATGTTTTATTATGCACAGAAGGGAAGGGGGGAATTGAATGCGTATGCATAAAGCATACAAAAAAAAAAAAAAAAAAAAAAAAAAAAAAGGTTGGTGGTGGCTTTGAGGTTATATTGGACGTCTATATGTCAGACTTTGTACGGTAGTTTAAACTTGACACCATTTTGACTACGGGGCAGAGAAAATCAAATAGTACCAAGCTGTATTATTATTTTCTGACTCTTAGCTTATGTTGTCAAAAGGAGGTAATGACATCTTATGATAATACACTTTTTCCTGACAGATTTATTCTGTTTCTGTAAGCTTAAAATTGTCTGAAGCACTGAATTAATAATATAAGCAGAATAATCTTGACCTCCCACAGAAAAGAATATTAAATAGTTACCGGTCCTATACCAGTGAGCCAATTTAAAAAAAATATCAAAAATACAATGTTTCTTGAATTTTAATTTATTACACTTGGATAATCAATCGGAATTATTACATTCCTTTATTTCATTTGTTTTATATAAAATATTAGGTTTTTATATCCTTTTCGCATATTTTTCCAAGTACAGTACAAAGTCCTAATCCGGACGTCCATTATCCAGAATTGATCTATAATCCGGACCTCAAAGGCACAAACTTACGCATGCACGGGTTATGCGTGTAAAGCCAGCAAAGCGTTTACCCATGTGCGCTTCCGATAGTGAAGAAAGTAACAGAGAACGTTATTGAAAATTAAAAAATTTCGGTATTCTCGACACAGCAATTACACGACTTGAACAGTGGAACTTTGTAACTGAACAAGAAATTATGTCTGTTTATAGAATTAAAGAGAAAGTATTAGCACAAAAAATGAAGCAACTTAAACAACTTACATTGATAGAAATGTTTACTAAAGTAAACAAATAAATATTGAGTTTTTTTTTTTTTTTTTTTTGCAAATTTTGATACTCTTTAGATCGTAATTGCTCTTTATTTCATAAATTATGGTTTCATATTTTTAATTGTATTATTTCTGCATGCCATCTTACCAGATTTAAATTGATGATCTATAATCCGGAAAAAAACCTAATCTGTAATCGCCGAAGTTCAGACGAGTTCGGATTACAGACTTTGTACTATATATGTATATATTCTTATATAAATGATAAAAAAATATGTAAGGATACAAAGAAATCTCAGAGCAGCACAGCACATTATACAAGGTTCCACTGTAACAAACACATGGATCTGTTTGAACACATCTTGCATATTTTCATTGTTATTTTTGCACCAAAATATCACCTGATCAATGCAGTTCATTTCAGCATGCCTTATAGCCTGAAATAAAAGATACATTTTAATATTATCATATAACACTTAGACTAGATAAAATGTAAGATATTCTTCTATTATCAGGACCAGATTAAAAAACGTATGTATGTATGTATGTATATGGGTGTGCACATGCACATACATACATACGAATATATATGCACACATTCGGAACTACTCTTATACATGCCCTCGGTTGGTGACAAATTTCTCACCAAACATTTTTGGTGAGAAACTCCGCGGCGCCATATTACTGTCTAAATATTTTGTCTACATTTCAAACTTTAAGCCTAAAATGTGTGGCGCAAAAACCAAGTCTTTAACACACAATTTACGCCAAAAATTTGAAACAAAAGCAAAACAATTAAACAGCAAAAACGTAAAGTTTCTAACCAAAAATATTTGACAAGAATCCATGTACACAACAATCTGTTTCAACTTAAAAAAAATCACAGAATTGCACAATCTATGAAGCATAGAAATCTAGGAATTACGCACACCTCACTAAAATAACTAACATAACAACAATAAATTTAAAACAACACCATATACACAGCATACAACTCTGATATATGCCCTAATTTCACCAAATGTGGCGATATGTCTTCTGCGCTGGTTTTTGGCATGATTGCGTGTTGTATGGCAACCCTGTTGACATTGAAAAATCTTTCGCTGGAGTTCGTTGGTTCGCGTCATGCTCTGTGTCTGAGAAGCTAAAATGGATGAAGTTGTTGAATTGAAGTTCGGCAAAAGGAAATATCGTCGTGGCCATCCTGTTGAGGGGCAGTGGATATTTGGAGGTGTGGAAAGAGGTTCTGGGAGATTATTTTTAGTGGCTGTGCATGATAGAAGTAGGGATTTGTAATTATTTGTTATTTTATTTATTTGTGAACCATAGTATGAATTTTCTGTATAGTGTGTCTGGCTGTCATATAAATACGATATGATTACGTGGCGGCATGTTAAAGGTTAAATTGGTATTTCTGCTGTTCGAAAAAGCATTGATTCATAATAAGTGCATTTTATTTTATTCTTGTTCTTATTTGTAGAATGATATGTTCATTGTTTTTTTAGTATGAATTTCTGTTGTTATTGTTTTTTTTTTTTTTTTTTTTTTTTTTTTTTTTTTTTAATTGTTTGAAATTTATTTTAGTTATTTTATTGATTAGTGTGTACCGTCTAAATTGTGCAATTCGTAGATGTTTTTTAAAGTTCAAACCAGAACGCTGTATACATGGTATTCTTTGAAATTTATTGTTGTTAGGTTAATTTATTAAAGTGAGGTGTGCGTAGTTCGTAGATTCGTTTGTTGCCTAGATTGTGCAATTCAAAGATTTTTTTAAAGTTTAAACAGGATGCTGTGTACATGGTATTCTTTGAAATTTATTGTTGTTATGTTAATTTATTAAAGCGTGGTGTGAGTAGTGAGTAGATTTGTTCGTTGCCTAGATTGTGCCATTCGTAGATGCTTTTTTAAGTTAAAACATATCACTGAGTACATGGATTTTTGTCAAATATCTTTGGTTAGAAACTTTACGTTTTTACTATCTAAATTTTTTGTTTTTGTCTCGAATTTTTAGCTTAAATTATGTGTTCAAAACGTGGTTTTGCATTTAGCAAAACCGCATTTTTGAAGACATTGTAGGCTTAAAGTTCGAAATGTAGACAAAAATTTAGATAGTAATATGGCAGCTTGGAGTTTCTTGCCAAAAATGTTTGGCGAGGAATTTGGCGACTTGAAGGCACATATCAGAGTAGTTCCCAAACAATTAAAAAACAACAATAACAACTGAAATTCATAGCCAAAAAAAAAAAAAAGAACATAACATTCTAGAAAATAAGAACAACGATAAAATAAATTGCACTTACCATTGTGAATGCTTCTTCAAACAGCAGAAATATCAATTTCAAACATCAGCAAAACCCGTGAATTTCCACCACTTTATATTCCCCCCCCCCCATTTCTGAGATACAGAGCATACAAAGTCCAGCATACATTTGTGAATAAAATTTCACCCATAACTTTTAATACTAAATTTAACTTGCACACAATCCAAAATATCCGACTGAAATTTTGCCACCACGTCTTTCATTGCAACATAAGCCATTTCAAAATGCTCACTGAACCAACCAGCAAATAAAACCACTCCATTCAACATCTAACGACTTGTCATACAAACAACAAACAACATTGCACCAAAAACCAACACAGAATACATATTGCCATATTTGGCAACGCCATACATCTGAGGACATACATAAAAGTAGTACCACACATTCATTTCTGAATATGGTCCAAATAACAGAATACCAAATATAATTACCGTATATACCCGTGTATAAGTCGAGATAATTTGGACAAAGAAAAGACTTCAAAGTGGGGGGGGGGTCGACTTATACGCGGGGCCATAAAAAATTAAAAGAATCGGAAGTTCAAAAATTTCTTTATATAATGCAGTTGTTTTCTTCCCGCACTCAAATTGGACAACTTATCAAATAAGTCACTTACTTGAAGTAATTTCATGACTTAAATTTATGTGACGAACTAATCACAGAGTTTCATACTTTAACTAGAGTAAGTTTCGATTAAACCAAAGAATTTTTGGCCCCGAACAACCGATCAATATCGAGCAATAAAACAGTTTCGCCGACACGCCAAGCAAAGAGAAATGCAGATAGTTTTTATGTACGTATAAGTCTTTAGAATAGTTATTGTTCATTCATGAAATACTTTTGTTAACAGGTGTACACGTCAAAATTTAAAAAAATAGCCCTCGCAATAACTGAACACTTTTGAATATTTCTTTTAACTTTTTAAAAGGGGAAATGCAGATAGATTTTATGTACGCGAATCTTTATGTACGAAACATACGTATGATGACGAGCCAATGACGACAGAAGAGTTCTATTTTGTTTATTTATCAAGGTATTTTTTATCGTATATTTACTTTTTTTTCTCAGATGATTTTGAATAAATGTAGTACTTAAAAAAAAATTTCGAAGTTTTTCGATCGATTTCGGAAGTGGGGGGTCGACTTATACGCGGATTTCTTATTTTCTATGAATTTTTTATGTCGAAGTGGGGGGGTCGACTTATACGCGGGTATATACGGTAGTTCTACAAAAGAAAAAGTATAATATTGGCAAAACATATTAAGAACTTAAATAAATTTTCATAATCAATAACATATTAAAATTTAAATTATTATTGACTGTAGAAAAGAAAAGTGTTCCAGTATTAAAGGTGCCCATACATCTAACACCAGTTTCATACTCATAAAAGAAAACCTCCATAAAGGTGTATGCACTTTTAAGCCAGGGCACTACCATATAAGTTGGGTTTTAGCTTACTGCTATAATCAGGAAAGCAATTGAAAATTCTACTTGTATAATAGTAGCCTTGTATAAAGGCGTTCGAACTTTATAGAGACAACTTTTCTAGTTAGAAATCTATCTAATATGGGCACCTTCATGAAAGCTTGTTTCTTTAAACAGGCGTCAACCTGCTTAAGGACCCCGGCATCTTTATAAAGCAATCCAGCCAGTCCGAGTTATTCAAACGAATGCTTCTCGACAGTCATTCTAAATGAACACTGAAAAATGTTTAAATCAATTCAAATACAGATATAAGGAATAGATTGGACTGATTAGAGAAAATGCTGGCTAATCACTAGTAACTGGGATAATTATGAATCACTAGTAACTGGGATAATTATTAATAACACTTCTTTTAACTACAAAACGTACTTCAACATACTGTAAAAAACCATACCAGCCATCTCAAACCCTTTGTCTTACAGTTAGGAATCAATTATTAAGCTGAAAGTCATTACAAAAAAAAAAAAAAAAAAAAAAAAAATATTTTCTGATATCTATTAGTTGAATTTCTGCAAAATAAAATTGGATTTAATACATTTTTTAAAGGACTTTTTCACTCAGAAGTTTTTATTATTTTTCTTCATTTTATTTTTGTTCCAATTATAAACTATCACAGTTGCTTAAAGTAAAGACTCACTTTTTTCTACTACTTTAAAATAAATTACAGAATTATACAAAACTATATCCCATATTTAATGGATAAATTTTAAGCTGAAAAGTAATTCCACAGTGTAATTTTACAGCATTTATACTTGACACTTTATTTGTTACAACTTAAGTTATTGCCATTACAACTATTATTCAAGTTTAATAGAAAGTAATTTTATAAGTCATAGCTGCCGTGTAATAAAACACTTTTTTAAAAAATCCTTCTATTTTACACTCTTGTTTTCCTCATGTACAAAGTGAACTATTTTCACTAAAAAAAAAAAAAAAAAAAACTGCACAAATTCAGCATTGTACACTGGCCAAAACAGAAATCTGCTATGTCCATACATGGGCTACTACATAAATGCTTTTTTGCAGCACTGTGGAGAGCCATATAATTATTTGGCTGATCTTTGGAATATGGTAACTGGTAGTTTGGCGACATTTTGGAGGCGATAAAGGTTATTACCTAGGACTTTGGTAATAATGTGAGAAGTACTTAGTTCCGATTATGCATTATTTTGTGTGAGGGAAATGAGAGATCATGAGATATGTTATGACATTAATGGACGAATTACAGTTCTTTAATCGGAAAAAGGGGGGAAATTTGGAAAAACATGTGCAGTACTATAGCTGCATTGTATTAAGCTTCATTGTGTGTTGTGTGAATAGTGGAAGTGTGCGTGCCACGTAATGAAGATTCTGAAGATTAGGTAAGATAGTATTTTTAATCATTTGAGGATATTATTTTTATGCATTGTTCTAAATGTAAGGAGTAAATAAATTAATATGATATTATTGGAAAATTGTTATTAGCAATGATTTAGTTTAAAGTAATTAGGATTGTAATCTAATTTTTATTAATTTAATGTATGTGCTTATTTATGTTTTAAGTAGTGTTTTTTAATTTAATTATATTTTAATTTAATGATCGTGATTTTGCGAGTTATATGTTTGTAGTATTTTGGAATACGTTGAGTATTTTCATGCATTTTCGTGAAATTTTTCTAATTTATGAGAAAAAAGCAGTGTACATGGATATAGTGAAGAGTGTGCGCAATGCCACTTTTGTGCAATTCTGGGATATTTTTTTTTAAGTAAAAATAAGTCGACGTGTACATGGTTTAGTGATATTTTAATTAAATGATAGTTATTTTGTGAATTTTATGTTTGTAGGAATTTGGTATACGTTTCAGTTGAAGTAAACGTGTATGGAAATAGTTTAAATAATTGACACTAAGTATTTATAACTATTTGTAATGTTTGCGGTATGAATTCATTGGTGACGTTTATAATATAATAGATAATTTAGAGGTAAAAGTTTTTGGATATTTTATTTATTTTATACGTGGAAATGTTCATCCTTGGTATATACTTTTTCGCGATCAGGTAATTTCATATATGTGCTTTTTACCGAGTTTAAAGATTCACAGAATTTTTTTGCATTTTCGTACAAATTTTTGTAATTTATGAGAAAATAGTAGTGTAGATGGATAAAGTTAATAGTGTGTGCAATGCCATTTTTGTGCAATTCTGGGATGTTTTTTTAAGTAAAAATAAGTCGACGTGTAATGGTTTATGTGTATGTGCTATTCTGAAAAACGCGCAAGGAGTTTGCGATTGTGCACTTTTTCCCAATTTTGCAGTTAATATTTGTCATGATTAAGCAGTTTTGTTACATAAAATTTCTAGCATAAGTGTAATTCGGCTAGTAGATTGTTGAAAAAAGTGTTCAGTAAATAAAAAGAAAAGAAACATGTCTTTACTTTGTGAAGACAAAATGGCGGTGAAAAAAAAAATAGAGGGTTGCTGTAGCAGAGTTGGTCACCAAATTTTCGCCAAGTTACCATAATCCAAAGATCAACCAATTATTTTGATGATTTATTATGCCTCATGAATACTATTTCATGACACTTCGGTAAGCTTGTAAATAATCAGAAAGCAGCAAAAAAAAAAAAAAAAAAAAAGTTTTTTTTTTTCTTCAATATTGATGTAAGTTAGATTACATACAAAGTAGAATTTTTTTAAAGTTATCTTTGAATATTATTATCTTATGACAATGACAGTCTAAAAACCTAATTAAATTTAACACCCTTTTTAAATGATTCAATGCTAACCAGAAATTCTGTGAAACTCAAATTACAAAAAGAGTAAAAAGTTAAGTTTTCATCACAGAGACTTAATATTAACCCTTTAACTGTCAAGTTATTTTGATGATTTCGGTACCCAAATTGTCAAATTTTTTTATTGGAAAACACAAATGTAGCCGAAATAAACATCTCCCGATATATATTCGGGTATGACAATACGATGCACTCAAAAAAAAAATTACCCCGAGAAATACTCGGGCGTGACGGGCATGACAGTTAAAAGGTTAACAGTAATCTACCTAAGTTAATGGGATGTTGCCAAAGTACAACATAATTCAATCCAAACATTTGCCTAGCTGTATTTTTAGCAATTTTTCTTAACATGTACTTCCTATATTCTATTTATAAATTCGCTTTCCTCCTCCTGATAATTTGTTGTTTTAATTATACAATAAATTTGATTTTAATCACATTAAAACTTTTCACAATATGGTTATATGATAACAAATATATATCGTGTTTTACAATAGAAGATTATTTAAGAAATGATCTTTCGAGTAGCACTCCAAGATAAATTTCCAAAATATGTATAATCTAAAACTATTTACATTCAGTAAGTCTCAAGTAAATTAGAAATAACTTTAATAATTAATTACATTCTTTGTTTCGTTTATAGAGTTCCTAGAAGAAGCTATAACTTTATTTTTATACATCATAACACAACCAACAGGCACTTCACGAGATTCCAAACCCTCCTCTGCCTAAAATAAAAAAATAAAAATATTTGGTAAACAAACAACAAAAGTTAACATTATGGTTTAAATTCAATATCTTTCATTCTCACCAAATGAAATGCCAGATCCATTAATCTTAAGAACCAATGCAAATATAAAAAAACAACACAGAAATACAATTAGCTTTACACAACAGTTAACAAAATTACCACACACTTACATCTTATTTTGCAATTTTCATCGTCTTTCTTCCTGCGAGTTCTAACAGCGCGTATATAACAGGCTATCCACTTTCTATCCAAATTCTACACGAAACTGAAATTTTTAACAACAGGCAGAAAGACTGAGATTAAAAAAAAACTGGTTATGCTTATTCTAATATCATGTGCAATCAAAGTGTGGTGTGAAATTTGACAAATATGTTTTATTTTACAGTATAAATTTAAGAATAATAAAGTAACAAATAGTAAATTAGAAATTATAACCATGGTAAGTTAAAATTATGTATGCTTTCTTTTGGGAGAAATAGTCCTAAAATGCACTATGTTTATAGAATTGGTTTTCTGGTTTTCCAACTATTGGTTGCGAAATATTGTATACCAATAGTTCACTATTGTACACCAATAATAGAATACTTAATAATAATAGAAGCTCTAGTGTAGAATTGGGTGCCCTTTCGATGCCTAGTGTGTGCAATTCTATGAAGTTTTTTAAGTGAAAATAGATCAATATGTACTTGGATACAAAAGTTTGTGCATTTCTTTGACTTCTTATTTCATGTAGCAGTTTAAATTATTAATGCACATAATTTATAAAAATATATTTTTATTGTATCTAAAATTTAAACGTGATTATTGAAACAACTTTCAAACCAAAGATGGGCCCAAGCCAAAGACTGAGGAATTTTCAATGAAATTTGCATCTTTGCTCAAAATGAGACTCTCATTTTACACTATATTTTTTCCCTAAGAATTTGGTTGAATAAAGGAGTGTTTTGATAAATGAAATTGCATGATGGGAGGAAGGAGTTTTAGTTACCATACTGCGTAGAATAATTACATTATTTACTAAATGAAACACGTGATTACCATAGAAACTGCATAAAATCCACATCTATCAAAGTGATTTTAGTTTAAGTCTGCATTCACTATTCTTGTTATTGATTTGCTTGAAAATACATAAACAAGAATGCATCATTTACAGGTTTTTTCCCCCTCCCCCCTCCGATAGCTAATGTTGTTGTTATTTCAAGAAAGGGTACTATTCGGTTTTGAGGGCCGTAAAAAATCGCCAAACTATCATTGATGCCAAAAATAACTGCGGCAACCCAAACGCAAGAAAGGAAGTATAATAGTAAATAACTATCTAAGATTGTGTTTTAATTTAGATGAAAGGTTAATTTCATATAATACTTTATTATTATAATTTATATAAAAAAAAGGCTAAACATGACTGAATGGAAGCATAAGAGTAAATAGATTATTATAATTTATATAAAAATTGCTAAACATAACTGAATGGATGCCTGCATCTCTATTTCGCTAGAGTTATTGCTAAAGCATATGTTGATCTTGTTGGTTGTTCAGACGTAATTTTCTATAATGAATGATGCCTTTTCTTTGAAAAAATTCTCAGAAAAGTGCAGAATCGCCCACTTATTTGTTTGCCACTTTTTACAAGGGTAAAAACAATTGAACTTTGTCAGTTTTACTTTTTTAAGTGAAAATAGGTCGATGTGTACATGGATACCGAGTATGTGCAATTCTTAAAAACGCGCCAAGCAGTGGGTGATTCTAAACTTTACCCAAAATTCTATTGCACACTTTTCGTCATGGGCAATTCCCAAATTGTTAAATCCATAGGATATCAAAAAAGGATTTAAAAATTAAACTAGTATTTCAGTGGCGTCTTAAAAATATAGAACTATATAAACTTATGCAATCTGAAATCCGTGCGTACGCTAGATTTGGCGCGCTGTTCAATGGGCGCATTTGCTAGATTTGGCGCTTTTGCGCATACATTTTCGCTGCAATTTTTTTACGGTCCTCAAAACGGAATAGTACCCAAGAAAGTTATAAAGGAGGGTGACAAGATTCTGTAGCTACCTGCTGGTGAAGTGTCTAGCATGTTGCACAGCTGCACCAAAGGTTCAAGGTTCGATCCCCAGGTTGGGTAAAGTCTTTCATCCCTTGAATGGGTCGATAAAATGAGTACCAAGTTCACTTAGGGACTAAACACTGAGGGTCCTGCGGCAAGCGGACCACTTGCCCAGGGCATATGCTAATGCACTCTGTGGCCCAAGGTCAAGAAAGCAGTTTTCGGGGCACTGCAGGCCGTGGCCCACTAGGGCTGTTGCACCACCGAGTTGAGTTTTTAAACAAGATTCTGTTTCTCTAAATTGCTGCAGGGTAAAGTAGGTATTCACTGGCATTTTTTTCCCTTAAAAATTTGCCCTAAATTGTGAAGAAAGTACTATGGTTAGAGTGGATTTAAGGGTGCTTCTTAGATTATCACTAAGTTGTTGTTTCATTTATGGTAACCTGAGAAGTTGACTGTTAAGGAAAAAGATTTGGAAAGTGTGTGTCAGATTTTGAGTAAGAAGTACATTGTTATTTTGTGGTTTACAGGGTAGAATGGCTGAGTGTGGTAAGATTAAATTGAAGTTTCTGTACGATTTGGAACGAAAGGAAAAAAAAAACATTAATTAACTGGTGTGTAAATGAAGGTTTACTTAGTAGCCATTATTAGGTGTCTTATTTGTAGGAAGGAAATGCGTATGGTCGAACGTCGTGATGAAGGATATTTTTTACTCTTATTTTGTGAATTTATCTGGTGACGCCAGTATACAAATTCTAGTTCAGATAGTTTTAGGAAGTTTTTGTATACTGTAATTCATAAATAAGGTAAGTGGGTATTACCTTTGTGCAGTGCTAAGATGAATTTCCTTTTTTATGTTATTTCATTGTTTGATTTAAAATGTAGTTTATTGATATTATACATTTTTTATTGGCTGTTTCTTTGACTTTTTAAGTGAATATAAGTTGATGTGTACATGGACAAAGTCAACAGAGTGCGCAATGCCTAGTTTGTGCAATTCTCTGATGTATTTTGAAATGAAAATAGGTTAATGTGTACATGGATACCGAGTTTGTGCAATTCTTAGATCGTTATTTTGGATTTTTGTAGTGACGATGTTTGGTGCAAAAATCGCCGCTACACAAAGCCAAAATAACAAATTGAAGAATTACACAAACTCGGTGTCCGTGTAGTGCCAGTTATTGCCAAGGACCATCCGTAAATATGTTTTTACCAGGTTTATTTTTGAGTAATATGATATATGTAAACATGCTGTGTGCATTTAGAGTTTTTCAATTGTATGAAGTATAAATTCTTTGTTTAGCAAAAAAAGTAGCCAAAATAGGAGAGCGATATAATAAGCTTCCTAAACATAAATTAAGTATTTTCTAATATTGAGAGTAGTTGATAAAATTTGAAATTAATTCTTATGAACTGTAGTAACATTAGAAAGTAAACAAATGATTAAAAATTTAACTCGTTGTTTCTTATTTGGCAGAGGTTTTTTTTTTTTTTTTTTTTTTTTTTTAATAACTCATTCTGAGATTCTACTTTGTTGATATTTTGTGATTTTAATTGCAGCATAATTTTAAGTTTTATGTTTTTCCTTTCTCAGCTCAGAAGGCAAGCTAGATTAAGACGAGAATTTCTGTATGGTAAATCAAAAGAACACAAGCAAGCAGCTATTTTAGAAAAGAAGAAACAAGTCAAAATATCTTTAGAGGGTAATATTTTAATTTTATTTATTTATTTATTTATTTATTTTATTTTATTTTATTTTATTTTATTTATTTTTTTTATTATTATTATTATTATTATTACAGTGTTTGAAGAATAAACCAGGTCTCATCTTAATTTCTTTTTCCAGAAAATAAATTATTGCCTACAACAGTAAGAGATGAAGCTCTTAAGTTCCAAGACTCTCTAGAGTGGGAAGACAATACAGAAAGTGAGTATAATTCATTTTTAAAAAGAAAATAGCATAAATTAAGCATAAATGCTTATTTTCTAAAAATTTTTCATTCATTGACTTTTTTTCTTTTTGTAATATAGTTTCTAGTATGTAATGTTATACTTAATTTTTGAACTAACAGAAATCCTTTTTTTAAGCCTCTAGATTTCACCATGTTTCCTTATAATTTATAAAATATTTAATCTAACGTCAGATTTCAAAAATATTTATAATTTTTATTTCACATAATGGAAATTCATATTTTTATAAATTTCTGATTTTATCTTATTTTGATCCAGCCAGCAATTTATTTGATAAATTCTGTAACTGTAAATAATGCATATTGTTTCTTTTTAGCTGGTGATATATAAAATGTTTGTAGGGTTTTTTTTAATTCAGTTTATATTATTGCATTTTTTTAAATTCCTTTACGGGGTTTGTGCGGATTTGAAGTGAATAACAACGACAGCACTTGAAGTATCAAAACACACTTTATTGGCCAATATTATTCAAGACAGCTCCAATAACATGTTTACAGTCATTGAAGAACTACTATAACATGCTGAAACAATCTGTGACACAGCCTCCAGGCTATAACGATGGAGACAGCTTCAAGGCAAAGCACCAGAGTATAGTTCCCGACTCTGCATGGCCATTCTCGGAACTCTACGTACTCTCGAGACTCTCCATGCTACAACTCACGATGCGTTTGGCGATACGCTAGAATACAGCTCCCGACTTCTCTGTTCAGTCATTCCTGGAAGCTCTAAGATCAAACTCGATGATGAACTAACTCGCGATACACTAAGAGAGTTTCTCAATGCACTCGACGACCAACTCGGCACTAGACTTCCAGATATTTGCTCACTGACTAACTATCAACTTGCTAGACGAGACACTGACTTTCCGCATACCAGCAGGGTTTATATAGCTTTTGGCTTGTGTTCGAGAAAATTCTGGGCTAAACCAGTAAAAATATGTTCCAGAAGTTTCTCCATCTGTCTATGGCATATCGTTAATTTTGTTGCCAAATGGGTGATTTCTCGCCAAATATGGCCACCCTAAACCTGCTTTGCGGGGGAAGGGGGGCTATGTATTTTTTCAATTAGATTAATTGAATTTTATGGAATTTTCGTGCACATTCTTGCTGAACAATTTAATTAATAATTGTAGACTTTCAAATTTTGCTTCATCTGATAGGTTAGAATATAATCTTTCAAAATGAAATTCGTTCTAGATTACTGCTTAACCCTTTTGGCTGTGCTTGATGGTGTTTGTCTTCTTTATATGTAAAGGTCTGTTTTATCGGTAGTAGAGATTGTTTTACTATTCACCACCAGAAGTCCCATCTAATGGGTTATCTGTGTATACTTTTCCACATATTTGAGAGAAATTTGGTTTCGAATATTGTTTCTGGAGCGATTTGGTAGTAGGAACAACTCAAGTAAGGACTTATTAATATGATGCAAGGAATTCTTCTAACACACAGAAAAAATATTTCGTTTTATTTATTTATTTATTTATTTTAAATTTTTTTTTATTATAATAAATTTAGGATAAAAAGATTAATTTAAATCACCAATTTTTAGCAATTTTCCTAAAAAAATTTTTAAAAATTTATTTCATGTCTAATAATTTTTAACTTCAACCTGAAAATATATATGTAATTTGTTTTGAAATTTTCATTGATCATAAAATTACCCTTTTTGCTACAACTGGCCAGCAAGACCAGTTAGTTTGGCCTGGGTAGAGATCACAATGAATGGCCAGGTTCCATTGTCATTTTTACATTTCTTGTGGCTACAAGCAAACTTTACTTAGATATTTGATTGTCTTGCTGTGATCAAATGAACCAAACTAACTGAGTTTGGCTTCTTTTAAACCAAGAATGATCAAAAATGCTAACTATGTAATTTTTTACCATTTTTTGAAAATTATTCATTGTTCAACTTGAAGTGCTGTAATGAGAGAATGGCAGGTGCTCTTGTGTACCATAATTTTGCTTTAAAATTCATAATGTTTGCTTTATTACCATGCAGAATAAGAAAATTTCTGCTTTCCCTACGCTCCCCTACAAAGTACAATTGCTCTTCTTTCATGTCCTAACACTGCTGTGATCAGTGGACTGGCTTGATGCCAAGAAAGTAGAAGTAATGAGTTCGAGTTCAGAAAATCATTTTCTGTTTTTTACTTCTTCGTACAAAGTAAAAAGGAAGTATTGTAATCGCGGCTTCAGGCAGCATATTTCAACAAAAATATCCATTTTGACCACTATTGAATGCAATTTAATGACGTTTTTGCATGACATCTGTATGTAAGGATAGAATAAAAGACTCTTCTTCCCCAAAATAATTATAAAACTGATTTAAAATGACATTTAAAGAGAATTTTTGGGGCATCTGTGCGTACGTACATACGTATCTAACATAACTCAATGAGTAGCCTCAGAACGTTGAAATTTTGTATATAGGACTGCTATAACATGTAGATGTGCACCTCGTATTTTGGTTGCAATCGGCCACACCAAACGTATATATATATCCACTCTGTTACCCGGCTCAGTGATCTCAGTTTCTTTTTCAGTGTTTGTAATTGTATATTTTTTGCTTTAAAAATGATTGAATTATGTTGTTCTTATCTTCTGGTTAAGGTTTTTATGCCTTTAGTAGTAAATCTGTATGCAATATTTTTAGAATTATCAACGATTTTAAAGATGTTTAAGTGCCGCTAAGCCTAATAATTTTTTTGATGGCTGGCATTGCTTGTTTACATTTGAAACAGCAGAATAGTGGATTTGTTGCCAATCTAGAGAAACTTAGCTTCACAACAACAAAGATAATGCCTTCATTTATTATTGCGAATTAAATGGTGCTTAATCCTTTCTGGAATTTTTTCGAGGAAATAAGTGTTTAAGATTTACTTCGTAATTTTTAATACAGATATTTTTAGTCTTTATGTATTTTTGCCTTGTCACAAAGTGAGAACTGAATTAATTGAATGAGAAATACTCAATCGTCTGTGAAAAACTGTTTCTTTTTTGTTTTGTTTGCTTAATTTCTTTTATACATTGTTCTCGATTTATTATAGTATTTGAATAGAACATGTGGCTACGATTAGATAATTCTTTAAATGATGTAAATTTTGTGCATTCTGAGTTATAATATGAAAGAAATATAATACTGTTAAGTGAACCTAGCGCCAGAGTGTCGCTATGGTAAACAAATAGAGTGAATTTTAAAAAATGCATTTATTCTATTGTGGTTTATGCGTTGTTGGCGAAGTAGATTTAATTCAATCCAATAAGTTTAGATGAAATGCCATAAAAATGTGTATAATTTAATATTCCATACAAAGAAGTCATGTGGTGTACACATCAGATTTTTTTAATTTTAATTTTCTACAGATTGTTTATAGGTATTCAAATTTTCCAGTTATTTTTTATCTCTTATTTGGAATGTGCTTATGCAGTTTATATAAAAATTAACATTTTATGTGAATCCAATAAATTTTATATAAATCCAGTCAATTTGGATACCTTGTGTTAGTAATATGATGCATTCTGAATCATAAATTCAGATGTGGCAGACCATTACATGATGCTGCTATGCATATGTCATTCATTCAGTCTGGCAAGTGTTTCCATTACTCAAAGGATAAGATACTTAATATATTGTTATGTTTTTACGGGTTCGTTGATTTAGAATGATTGACAGCAACACTTGATGAAGTATCAAAACACAATTTATTAGCCAGTATTACCCAGGACAGCTTCATGAACATGTTTACTGGTGTTGAAAAACTATGACAAAGACGCTGAAAGAATCAGCAACACAGCCTTCAGGATATAACTGTGAAGGCAGCTTCACGGCAAAGCACTAGAGTACGGCTCCTGACTTGGTTTGGTCATTCTTGGAACTGATTGTACTCTCGAGACTCTCCACGCTACAAATCGCAATGTATTCAATAGCCTCAACAATGCACACTCCCGATGCACTAACTTGCAATACACTAACGAATACTTCTACAGACATGGTTTATATAGCTTTTAGCCTTCCCTCAAGAACATTCTGGGCCAAACTGGTAAGAATTTGTTCTAGAATGTTCACCCTCTGGCATATTGCCAATTTTGTAACCAATTAAAATGGGTGATTTTGGGCCAAATCTGGCAATCCTGCCCTCCCTTGCCATTTTCTGGCAACTCAAAACCCACTTTGCGGGGGAAGTTATCTTACTGTGGCTGGGCATTTCGTTACAATATATCTTTATACAGTCTTGCGCATGATGATTTTTCAGAGATTTTTTATATATGTGCCACATTTAATTAGTAACAAAATGAGAAATTTTAAAAGCAATAAACCTAATTTTTTGACAGTTAAAATTTGTATTTTATTGTTTAATATGTGCATGTGACAGCTCTTCAAAACTTTGCAACATTGTTACTTTTAAAAAAATGTTTCTAACATTTTTATGATGTATCATACAGAATTTTATGTATTTATTTTACATAATGTAAGGACTTTTACAGTACTTGATTTAAGTCATCTAAAGTTAATTTTCTTTTTCCTTGTGCAAAGAATAGTACATTTCTCATATATAAATGTGTACTCTTGAGACTTTCCACGTTACAAATCGCAATGCACTCAAATGCTTTTTGTATTTTATTATTTTTAGATTTTACCACTCATGAAGATAATGAGTATCGATGGGCTGGTGTGGAAGATCCAAAAATTGTCATCACCACAAGTCATGACCCAAGTGTGAAACTAAAGCAATTTGCAAAAGTAAAAATAGCTTTTTAAAAATAATAATAATAAATAAATAATAGTTTATTTATTAAATTAAAAATATAGAGATAGAAGAAATTTAACAATTTGTTCTTTTAATAAAAGTGTTTGAAAGCTATCCGTATATCATGCTGCATGTACAATTTTTTCAGGTAATACATAATATTTGTGTTCTAAGGCTATTAAAGTGCTGCATTAACAAAAGTGCTGAAAAATATTGTATTAAAATTCCATTTCTTCACATTAAATAAATGTTAATTGGTTGACAAAATTTTGGGTCGGTGTGAATAAATTGTCTGATAGACATTATAACACCTTCATTGCTATATAGATAAAATTACTAATACCTAGTTAATCTTTCAGTATTTACCCTCTTCTGCTATTGCTGTGCCAAAGACTGCATTTTTAGACAAAAGAAATTAGAAGTGTGTAATGTGAAAAAGTTGTCATCTACTTGCTTCTGTATAATCAGCAAATTACTTTTACAGTTAAGAAGCAGTCAAAATGGCAGGTGACATGATAATCAGTGAGAAAGAAGTCAGGAGAATATATGTTGTACAAAGAAAAATTTCATACTGAACAGACTTTTGTGTAATACATTTGCAGGTGTTATCATGGAACATGAGACTACCTAGTATGTTAACCACTGCTAGATGTTTGAGATCAAGTTGATGGTAAATTTCCTGCAGTTCATCATTATTGGTAGTTTGGTAGTTTTACCCTGATGGAAGAAGATAGTTAAATCACTCCATCAGTAGATCAAGCAGCAACAACTTTTGTAGGTGGAAAGGTAGTTTGTGACAATGTCCTAGTAATTACGATTCCTGATTGTTGTATTCTTACCTCAGTATTCTGTTTGTCATTTTCTTCACTATTAGTGGAGGTTTATTATTATTATTATTTTTTATTATTTAAAATCATATTACAGATTTCACCATCTGTTAACTGATTGATGATTGGTGCAGTGACTGTGATTGCAATCAAAGCATCATCATTAGCATCTGTCTTCATTTACCATTTGTTCTCTTCACATATTCATTAATTGGTTAATTTTGCAGTTTTTTGTAGTAAAATGAATACTGTTACATTAATTTCATAGTTTTTAATGAATACTACGTACATAGTTTTAATACTACTTAGAGCTATGTTTGGTTGGGGGGTTTTTATTTTCTTCTTGGAAGCACTGTCATTGCAATGGAAGATTTCAATTATATCATTTTCTTGTATTCATATATTCCATTAATCAGAAAATTTTGCTTTTTACTTACAGTATTTAAAAGCCTCCAATTTCGCAGCTATCATCATTATGAAAATTAAAAGCTGTCTTAAAATATGTCAAATGTTTTTTTAAAATATCGGCATATGTGTTTCCTTTCATGATATTTTGATGCTCCACATAAGGGATTTTATATTAAAATATGTCGAGAATTCTTGTATGGTTTTATACCCACATCATTTTTGGAAAGGCTACGTAATATGTGTTTCGGTGCACACTAACTTCTGATATCCATTAGCTAAATAATGGGTGTACAGTTTTGAGGAAAGTGTAAAATAGAGATGCTATCATTCAGTAAAACTTAAACTTTGATAAGATTAATAATAATTGAACAAAACAAAATAAGTTTCTTCAAATTAAAAAGTAAACAGCACAATTCACAATGCTATTTGGGTTTCCTTCTTCCCTGCTTTTAGTATTGTCTCGTCTACCAAAAGAAGCGAATAATAACTCGAATTAAAAAAATTGTGTTAATAGTTAATTAGTTATTATTAAATGCAATTACTTAATTCCTTTTTCCTTTTTTTCCACTGTTGCCATATATTAATAATTTTACATGATAAATTTCTTAGTATGAAAGTAATGGCTCAGATCCTTCCTTCCACTGATGTGTCTCCATTTAAGATACACATTACTAATTATGAATAATCATTTTATCCAAAAAATGTAAAATACCTAAAATGTATAACAAAAAAAGTGTTGAGAAATTTATGTTTTAACTTTTGCTTAACTTCTGAATATAATCTCTGATTTTCTGCTTATTTGCAAATTATAGGAACATTTTATCTAAACTTTTGTCTAAAAATTTGAAGGGAAATACAGTAAATTCCAGAAATCCGCAACACTTGGGACCAGAGGTTGTGCGGATTTTAGGATTTTGCAGATTTCAAGACAGAAAAGATAATATTCAGACTCAAAGTGCAAAATAAATAAGGCATATTAGATACCTTTAATTAAATTATTATATACATTAATACAATAATTAATTATATGCTTTAAATTATTACATATATAAACTGATTATATTATATTGTTCATTTACATTAGGCTCCTCTGTTTTTAAATCAGCATGAATCTGCTTCCCTTTTTCTCTCAGGAGTAGACCTGAAATAGGTACCCCATCACTTCGCCGCTGCCGGAAACACTCGTACAAGACAGCATCGAGGTTTACCTATTTCGCCTCATGTAAAGATTTCCAGTGTTAAAATCACTCTTGCTGTAAAATTTCAACAACTCTTTATTGTTCCGTATATCAAACACAGTCCCTGTGGCAATTCCATACGATTCTGGTATAAACTGAGCAGTAGCACCTGTTTCCATCTTTAGCAGAATTTCCACTTTTTTCATTACCGTCAATGCAACGTGTTTATGTTTTCCAACATCGCGAGCAGTAAAATCACGAGTGCGTTTCTTTTCTGTCATTGTATTAAAAAGGGTTGAAATTTAAAATATATGTCATATATCCACAAGATATCTGGATAAAAAAAAAAAACGACATTACTAAACAATCTCGTGAAATAACAAGGCTCAGAAAGTACAACAACGTGAATCGTGAACTTGAAAGAAGAGTTGAGTTAATCGTCTGCTTTTTTACCTCGATGCAGATTGGAGGAAAATAAACTCTTATCATGATGTCAATAATTTGGTATTTTCATTGTGACTCATTATTATTCAGTAATTATGACGTTATTATCCAGTAAGTATTTTTTCTTTGATATTTCGTACTCCATGTTGTGGTTTCCGGAACTTATAAACTAAATGTTTATATTTTGAGAGGCAATGCAGATTTCAGGTCAGCGGATTTTCGGTATTTGACTGTACTTCCATGATACAGATTTTTCAAAATCTGACTAGATACTCAACTGCTAATATTTTTTCCTTATTTTTAAATTTTTCTTTCTTATTGTCATCATTATCATGTCAACCTTTCTTCTTTCACTTTTTTTTTTTTTTTTTTTTTTTTTTTTTTTTTCATATTGAACTTTGTGTTTATTTTTGGAATATAATAATTCAAAGCAATGCATTTATTCAAGTCATTAAATACATGCAGACCCCCCCCCTTTTTTTTTTTTCTTTTTCTTTTACTTTTATAGTACATTCAACTTGCATCCAGTATTTAAGAAAAATTTATCTGTATGTTAAATGTATACTGAATAAAAGGGGTAAATATGACTCTGTAAGATATAAACAAGTAGTTCACTCAAATGCTTCTATGTTAATAGGGAAACTGTCTAAAAGTAAATTATCAGATATAAGCTCCGTCTGCCAATTAGAAAATAAATTTATTATGTTAAATTCCCAAAATATGTATTTTAATTCAGAACTCAAAATTATAGTACATGAAAGACTAAAATTTACATATTATAGTCATGAAAGACTAAAATTTACATACTTTCAGCTCTCTAATGATTATAATGTAAGAGATAAAAATATTTTAGCAAATATCATGGAAATTAAATATGAAATGACTGCATATTATTTGTGCTTAGCATACTCAAACATGTTATCATATGATACACAAAATCTGCATATTTTGTGTTTTAAATACCAATTAATTACAAAAGAGATTTCATTAATGTCATCTAAATTTTTAGGAACTAAGACTTGTCTTTCCTAATGCTCAGCGAATGAACAGAGGAAATTATGACTTGAAACATTTGATTGATGCCTGTAGAGCAAATGATGTAACAGATTTTATTATTATCCACGAAACTAGAGGCAAACCAGGTAAATAAAATCTTCATTCATATTTAAGTTTAAAAGACATAAAAAGTATGTGTTATTGGTTAATAATAAATGCAGGAATTTAATCACCTAATATGAACATCTTAACATTAAATTATTTTCATTTATAAAAGTGTTTCATTGTCTATTCATTATTATTTCTTCTGTAATTAATTTCAATTTTGCAAACTTTGAATTTCTTAAAAATATAAATTTATGCTTATTTTCAAGAGTTTTATGAACATTTCAGACAGTCTTATCATCAGTCACCTACCACATGGACCAACTGCACGTTTTACAATAGTTAATACAATTATGCGGCATGATATAGAAAATGTGGGAACTATGCCTCAGGAATATCCTCATCTTGTGTTTCATAATTTTAAAACAAAACTTGGTCAAAGGGTATGTGCTTATATTCATTTCAGATGTTTATTTTTATATTAATCATTTTGAGAGGTGAATTAAAACAGGCTTATAGTCTGTGTTAATTCACCTCTAATTTTCACATCAGTAATTTTCTTTTGACTGTTAATTTTCGTTTTCTTTAAAATTCTAACTGAGTTAGCATTTATTAGTTGAAATTATTCATTTATTACTTGTATAAAAGTATGTAAAGAGTATAAAAGAACTGCATTTCTTGTTTCATTGTTATGCATTTTTTGCATAAGAAGTGTGACACTTAATTACTAAATTAAATTTAATTGATATTTTATTAGAACTTTTTATGAAAGATGTCTAAAAATTTATATTTTATATGCCTTTGTTCGTAGCTTATATGAGACATGCACAACTTTTTAATTATGCCATTTTTAAATGTTTGTAAGTTTAATTTTTATTAATTTTGAAGCAATTATCTTGCTAAAAATGCATTCAAGGATTACTTGCTCCTCGTACATAACATAAAGACTTTGATCGTTTGAGAAGCAGTTCATGTATTGCTTCATTTTAGTTGGATGCCATTTGAGGTTAGATGGCTGTGTCGTGATGGCTAAATGCTTATACTTCTGATTATAGATTGCCCTTTTGTACATTAAAATTTTTATAAAAGTTAGGATCTAGTGTATGTTTAAAATAATAACTTTAAAGCAGTTTATTATCATTAATTGGTTTACGTTCCGTACAACTATAAAAACTGTTATCAGTGCCTTTTTTTGAAACTGAGAACTGTTGTTCCCCCTCCTTCATTTGAAATTTCATTATCATTAGCAGTGTCACTTGAGTCTTCTCTTTTGTATTATACAAGATATATTGCATTATCATCATTTGACCTATGCATGGTGTTGAACATGGATTATCTCTCAAATTTTCAGATATAATTTTTTCCGTATTAGTTTCCAAGAAACTGTAATTCATTTATACACTTAAGACGAGTGATTTTCTTAAATGCTTGGTCAAAGGTATTTTCATAATGCTATGCTGCTGATTATGGTAGAAACATTGAAGATGAACTTTGAAGAAATTTTTGATGAATATATCAAGTGATAGCGACATTTTGATCATCCTTTCTGGTATCAAACTATAGCACTTATTGCATCCTATGACTTATTTTCCACACTTTCAGTCAGATGACCTTAAGCTGCTGACAGCCAAAAAGGGGTGCTGGCATAAGTGCACTTGAAACAACAGTGACTTCGGTAAATGCATGTAGAGTTCTATTGTCATCAAGCCTTGATCTTGAACATGTACCAGTATTCCTGGTAGTGGCTTTTCTTTAGGAGAGTTTTATGCTTAAAAGTGACATAAGGTGGGATCTTGGATTCATTAGCAGTAATACTTTAAATATGTTATGCTATGTCATTTCAGTTACAAAAGACACTTAGTAATGCAATTTAAAATTTATTTTCTCTTGGTTTTGTACAATAATTTCTGTTTTAATTATTTAATTTTTTTTTCTTCTGTATGTTTACTTAAAAATTTATATATGTAGGTTGTGAATATTTTGAAACATTTATTTCCTGTACCCAAAGAGGAAAGTAAACGAGTTGTGTCATTTCTTAATCATGACGATTTCATAATATTCAGGTAAACTTTTCTTTCATCATTGTTTAACTTTATGATAATTCAAGATTTTGGTTAGGTAATTACATATTATTTTGTTGACCATGAAATTTGGCTGAAATCCTGTCGAACTTGCACCAACCATTCTAGTGAAAGTTCGAAGGAACAGATTTCTCATTATTAAGTAAAATAATCACATTGCTTCTTGATTAATTAGATAATCAACAGGTATCATTTTCAAGTATAGCATATAAAGAATTTAATATGAAATTTTGAGGTAAAGCTTTGAGATTAACTGATGATTTCATCAAATCAAGAGTAACCATTTGGGTAATCAAAATTCCTAATGGCATTTAAAAGAGCAACAGAAACAAAATTGACACCTCTTTTGTGAACTTGGTCCCATATAAATTTGTTAAAATTGAATTAAATGGCATCATGCAGTTCTGCATTGTCTTTTAATGTTTTATTTTGATAAAACCCATAATCCGGGTGTGTGAGTATGTGTATCAATATAACCAATCCAGTAACTTTGAAAATATTTTCCTGCTTGCTATTCTGTACAACTTTAATTTTTTTTTTTTTTTTTTTTTTTTTTTTTTTTTTTTTTTTTTTCAGAGTACAAGAGAAAAACAGAAATAGTAAATTTATATCTTTCTTTATAAAAATTAAACTGGAAGACTGAGGATTAGGGTTACGTAAAACCGAAGCAAAGACTTTTTTTGAGTGTTTTATCATATCATACTCATTCATTGCTTGTGCTGCATTGTTTGGCAACAGTTTTTATATATTAAAAATTGTCAGTTGGAAATTATATCATTACCTTTTTTATCTTGATATTCAGTATTTTTTTATAGAAATTAATACTTGTTTATGGGTATCTTTCAAAAATTAACATTAAAACAGGTGTATGTGTGTAGTAGACTGTGTAACATTACCTTTATGAAAAACCATACTGTTGTTTACTGTATAGCAATACTTTTTTAAAAGAGTTTATAATTGCCATTTTCTTATCCTGTTTTTTCATTATAAAGTTAATTTATAATTATAGGAAACATTTGAAAAACAAAAAGATCTTTTTTTTTATTATTATTGATAACTTGAAAGTTACAGCAGGAAGAAATGACTAGTTGTAATTCTAAAACCAAGACCACAGCACTTTCAAAATCATATGACTGATAAATGTCTGCTATATGGAAAGAATGAATTAAAGATAGAAATATTACTTGCATTTGCAATTATGTTTATATTTTGAACATTCTCTGTGTCTTTAGATGTAATGTCGTTGTGTATATCAAAGCTGAGAAAGAATTTTCACTATTTCTTGCTTAATTACTAAATATTCTAGCTTTAAAACATGAAATATAATTGTAATACTGTAATTAAAAATATTACCAAAATACTCCCTAAATGCTTAAATGCTGTGTAAATGGCATGTTTTTTAAGAAAATTTTTGGTATTTACATGTTGATGGAGAAAAAGCTGAAAAAAGAGCACATAGTTGCCAGTTTTGGTGCCATAACACAAATTTATCGTTATTATGATGATTCATTCACCTTATGATTGCTATTGCACTCTTATTATTAATATATTATTTTGATAAATCCTAAAAGCCAAGTGTGCGTATGTGTATGACGTGCTTACAAAAACATGCTTATGAAGTATAAGCATTTCTGTAAGAAAAAAGCACAAAAAGTGAAGTTTGAGCGGTAATACCATGTGCCTTCAAATGCCGCAATTTAGTGGACAACTAACAATATCTGTTGGCCAAACTGTAAACTAAACGTCTAATACTTTATATAATTTATTTCAGTGGTAAAACGGGATGTGCTCCTTAATAAAGGAAGAAAAACAAATGCCTGCGGGATGAGCAGATTTTGCTACATTTGAGTTGCTTGTGTAAATCATGAGATGAGCAGCCAGAGAGTTAAGTGTGAAGAATATGATATTTAATAATTAAGGGTAACACACAAAACATTAAAAAATGCCTCTTTGGGCATAATGTAAAATCTGTAGCTCATTCCTTAAATGAAGATGTGCTAAAAATCACTTTGTTCTTATCCACGGCGAATGTACGTGAAATTTGAGCTCCTTAGTTATAAGAAAACTAAAGACTAAAATTTGATGACAAAGTTTTTACCATAGTGACAAACACTGTGAGTGATTTAAGTAAAAACTTAATGCTAGTAGTTTTAAAGTTGCCTGACTAATATATCTTATAAACTCCGAAAATTTCAAATTATTATATTAGATACTTTTTGGATGTTAGAAATTTAAAGCTCATAAAACAGTAAAATATTACACACCTCAGTAAAATAAAGAAATCAGTGTTTAAAATGAAATGTACAGAAAATGTATATAAATTTACAAAAAGCAAACATTGAATAATGATGTGGTGGGTTTTATTGCAAATATTTTTAAACAGTAATAAAAACTCTTTTTTTGGGGGGGAAGGATTAATAAAATAGAATGAATTGCAAAATGCAAAATCTGTATATAAAAAAAGAGGGAGAGAAATAACATTTATAAAATGGCAGGAGATTTTTATAGTGAGCTTAACTTATTTGTAAGTAATTCTTTGCAGCATGGAACTGAGATTAATAAATAAGTAAATAAAATAACATTTTAGAGAAATCTATACAGTAAGAGTAAAGAATGTTAAAAAAAGTGTGAAAAGTATTAAAAATTAGTCTATTCAATTCATGTTTGTGACGTCATTGTTCACAGTGGCGTTTGGTGAAGGGAAGGAAGCTAGTGGTTTTCTGAAACGGGTTTTAAAAATGAAACGCTTTCATGTCTCCTTTTTCTCCTCTTGCTAATAGCAGCTGTGTGATGGAATATCGCATGTGAAGGGGGCTTTAAGCTAACTACATAATCATAATTCTAACTTTTTTTTTTTTTTTTTTTAAAGTCTAACAAATTCCATCAGGTCTGACAAATTCCATCAGGTTCCAGGAGGCATGAACTCAACAAGAAGGACTCTATATCTATCCTAGAAAACCAAAGTCATGACTTTGTGAGCCAAATTGAAATATTGGATTTTGTATTGTTTTGGAGAATGTGTATGCTGCCACTGAAATGTTTGTTGAAATTCATAAAGTTCTTGCATAGATTGAGATGTGGGACTAAAACCTCAAGTTTCATTCCCAGTCACAGTGGAGCCCAAAGAATTTATAATAGCCTTCTTCTGCATAGTATCAGAGAAAGCTGATCATAAAATACACCTCCCCTTTTATACCCTTCCATTATTATTTTGAACATCAAGTACATACAGCTTTTTGTAACCTAATTCTCTTATGGATTCGTGAATCAAGGTATTGAAAACTTGAAAAAATTTTGAGAAAGTTGTTTACCATGGCATGCCAAATTAGCATTAATTTTTTCATGATGTATATTTATCTTGCCTTTTGAGAATTCATGGCACCATTTTATCACATTCTGTCAAGTGACGATAAATAACACAAATCTGTAATTTCTGTTAGCTGCTATTTTCCTACTTTGTAAGTAAATGTAATATTGCTTTCAAAGTTAAGAAAAAGAAGTAGGTTCTTGATGTTTAGTGATGTAGGATAGGCTACATATTTCAATTTTTTTTTATTTGTATTTATAAATTAAAAATACTATTATAATATTGAGGAAAGTATATTTTTTAAAATTATTCCCTCTTAAGTTAGAACTTTAAACTTAGTTTTGTTGAAAGTTACCTAATGACAGTCTTAAAATGACGATTCACTTTTAATAGTTTATAGGTCATGTAGTTATAATAATGTAATTACAACTGTATGATATTTCTTAATTATGTATCATAGTGTCATATGTATGCAAAAGTATATTGTATATTTTGAAAATAATTCATTTAAATGTAGATTTGCCATATATTTATATATGCATGAACTTCTTTATTTAAAATTTTAAAACATATCCACAAATACTGAGATCAATCTATATATCTATGCTTTTAGACATCACCAGTATTATAAAGAAGACAACAAAGTCCAAATTCGTGAATTAGGACCACGTTTTGAATTAAAATGTAAGTAATAATATTTTCCCTAATTTCAAGTATAGATTAGCATACTTAATAAACAAAAATTAAGAAGTTTTGCCAATTCATAAAGTTCTTGTATTTACAAGTTGATCAAAAGTTGGACAAATTTGTGAAACTAATATCTCATCATAAAATAGTGATTGATAGTATCAATATACAGATAAGAAGAAATTATGGCATCTTTATGTAACATTTCCTATAGGTTACTTAATATGACTGTTTTTTTAGCTTTGTTTTGCTGATTAGTTTGTAGTCGATAGGTTTTTGTACTTAAGAATAAGTTTCTTTTTAGTATGGTATTAATTTTATAAACTTAACAATTAATAAATGAATGCGTTGATTGCAAAGTTAACACAGCGAGTTTCAGATTTTTTTCATAAAAAATATAGGTTTTCAAATAGCAACGTGTAAAAATTGGAAGCATATATTTTATCTCAATTAAAAATTTTCAATCTTATGCATAATTGCTTTTTTTAAATGTTTATTTAAAATACAATATGTTGAGAGACAGTAATATAATTAAGAAAGAGAAATGAAATGTATGTAAAGGTATTCTGATGTTCCTTTCATCAATCATTCATCAATTCTTAGCATACAAATAAAAATTATAAAACAATCTTACATTTAATCTTTGTACAATTCTTATCAACTTTAGAACTCTAATAAAAGATATGCATTCTTGCATACATGAAGTGAATTAATTTCCTTTCGTACTTTTATTAAATTAAATAAAAAGTGGAACTATATCTGTTTTGCATAATGGTGGTACATTGTGAAGCTCTCAACACAGTTCTGAAAGTTGCATAAGTCAGTTCTACTACTGAGCTTTATAATCCAGTTTCTTTATACTGTGCTTGTAATGGTTATCATTTCAGATTTTGATCCTTAGGGACTGACCATATATTAAGCAAAATAGATTGGTATTTTAAAGAGGGACCATGGTTCCATTTATATTAGTTTTCTCTTTTTATCTATCTGAAAAACAAAATGTCAACAAGAAAAATGATTTCCATAATCAAATTAGGAAAAAAAGCAAGAAAAATTAGAAGAATCCTCAAACAAGTCAAATTATCGAAAATAACATTATAATTTTTTATAATAGGAAAAAATATTGTTACCTCTGAATATTAAGTTTCTGTATGCGAACTTCTAAAGCATACATTTTATATCTGTAAAACTTTAACACAGGAATATGGATTGCAATTTTTCCGTTTGCAGAAATGCCAAAATTGAAAAACAGTTATTAAATAAAATTCAGGTGTTATAGAGCCTCTTAAGTTAAGATATTTCATAAATCTTTTCAGTATGCAAAAATATAAATTAATATCTTTCAGGGCAAAGTTTGATATACAGTGAAAATCGTTTAATAGGAAACTGAGAGGACTGAAATGTTTTTTCGTGTTAAATGATATTGGAAAAAAAAACACTTATTCAACAAAATTAAGTTCCTTACATTTGTTTACATAGATATGTATATATGTATGTATTTAATAAAAAATCAATGAAACAACAACATCCACAAGAATTTAATGAAGATTAATACAAAATGTTCATGTTTTATGAAAAACAAAATATTTATTGAGTTTTTGTAAAATAATCTAATATTTTTCTTTGCATTGTCTTTTGTAGCATCAAATTGTTCAATGTTGTCCATTTTGTTATTCATTTCACCATTGGAATGTGCGTCTAAATAACTGCGCATACTTTTCATGATGTTCCTCATTTCGGATGACGTGGGAACAGGAGCTGCATTATTCATTTCATTTTCATCATTGGAATCTGCATCAATGATATTTTAGCTTTGAACAAACTCTAGAATGTCTTTGTCTGCCATAATTGAGGCTGTATACACATTATCATCATTTACTGCAACGAATTCTTCTGATAATACATTAGGACAGTCCAGTAATACAGAAACTTTCTCAAACATTTCATTAAGTGTCGGATCAGTTACAATATCCTCCTTCTCCATTTCTTTTGCCTCCAAAGAATCTGATACTTTTGAGAATCATGCATGACAAAAATGATTTTCATTCGTCTTTGGAGTCACTGAATTCCATGCAGAATGCAACATTATGAATCAAACTCACAGATTTTTACTCACACTGTGATGTACTCGTCACTGAATTCCAAAGCAAACTGATGAGAATTTTTTTGTGTTGTTTGTAGGGGTGGAAGGTAAAAGTAGCTTAGATAAACAAAACTGGCTCGTGTCGCAGTCTATTCCGAGGATATTTCAAAGCCAAGTTAGCCTCCTATGAAACATGTGAAACCATCTCTCTTTCGTTTCATACCTCTCTTAAATCTCGCCTGCGAAGCCGGTGTTTTCAGTATTTTGTTCAGCTCCAGAGAGGATATCTTTTCGCGTTAAGAGAAACAAAATGCATGAAAATATATAGTAGTTTGTCTGGACCGTTGTTAAACGATGTTGACTGGACATGTTAACCGATATTTCGTCTTAAGTGTTTTCGCGTTAAACGTATTTCCCTGTATTGCAGAACCTTTTAACCCCCTTTTCTTCTCAGTGGTTAAAGAAGTATTAAGTAGTAGATATAACTATTTATTGGAACTTTCTTTGACCCATGTAAAAATTAAGTTTTTATATTTGTGTTAAAATATGTCACATAGCCACAATTATTTTAACATTGGAATCTTAAAACATCCCATATAAGATCACACTTCATTATGTTATAGCAATAATTTTATAATGTAATTTTTTGTCATGTCCATTAGATAGTATTATATCTTTAAATCTTGAATATATGGCTGTGCTTTTAAAATGTCACTGTCAAAATTAGCGTTATCATGAATTATTAGCGTTAAATAACTTCATTCAAGACTCAATTTTGTGGCCCATGCATAATGGAACAATAACCTATGTTACTTCTTTTTTTTTTATTACAGCTGAAGTCTGATAATCCACAAATGCTTATAATCTGTACTCATTTTTTAATGCAAATTAACTAAATTTCATTTTTTGAAAATTCAGCATGATAAACTTAATGTTATGTAAATAAACTTTTTAACAAAAATGCATTCCATTTATAGTTTTGTTGAAAGAGGGTTTTTTTTTTTTTTTTTTTTTTTTTTTTTTTTTTTTTTTTTTTTTATTGAAGTTGGCATTTTCTGCTCATGCATCATTACTTAAAAAAAAAAAAAAAAAAAAAAAAAAAAAAAATAGATTATGAATCCGAAAAACTTTCATTTTGGATAATTTATTATATTTGGTTGTATACCATTATCTTTTTTAATTAATGTGGTTAACATGTATAAAGAACTTATTTATGCATAACTTTTGAAATTAAATGCACCTCATATCTGGTTTCTTTGCATACAGTTTCATTATATTATATACAGTAGGAAAGTTTGTTTTCATCAATGGTGAATAGGAATAGATTCTTTAGAAAATTTGTAAAGATGTAACAAGGAGATAAAAGAAAATAGGAAGCTGTTCTATCCAAAATTAAGCTGCTATTGGTATTATAAATTCAGCATCACATATATGAAACAAAATGCTAAAATTAGCATGAGGGATTCAATTTAGGGAAAACATACTGTTGGGATTTTGTTAACAGTGTATTTATTTTTTTCTCTCATTTAACATTATAAAAGTGGATCTGAAAGTAATTTTGTTGGTGGATAAGCATTTTTAGATATGCACTGACGAGCCAAAACATTATGACGATCCCTACATTTTTCAATGAATTCATCTGATTGACGTGGATGGCATGTCATTAAGTTGGAATAGTATTTAACTACTGCTTGGGTAAGGTAAGGTATCATTCTTGTGTTTACTTTTGTGAGTGATGGGCAAGGCTGGTAATTAAAGCAATGGCCATTGGTTAACAATATGCCAATTTTATTATTTATGCAAAGTGGATAAATGACAGTGAAACCAGCTATAGCTGCCAGGGTATTGGATGTCCACACGTCATCAAAGAAAAAGGACACTGGAGACTGACCTGCTTGATATACGGCACCAGACAGTGGCTCAGCTAACAGCCCAATACAGTGCAAGTGTTTCAGAACATTGAGTTCAGCAAACGCTGTTGGATATAGAACTGCACAGCAGACGTCCCACTTGTGTGCTTCTGTTAACCAAGTGTCAGTGTCAACTATGCCTACAGTGGGCCTGAGAACATCAAGACTAGACTGGACCATGGATAAGTGGAAGATGGTTACCTGGTCACATGAATAACAATTTCTCATTTATCACATTGATGGTCGTGTCAGGGTATGTCGTCTTCCAGGCGAACAGTTGCCCTCTCCTCATATAGCAGGTTATATACAGGCTGGTGGCGACAGCAGTATTATGCTTTTTTGTAAAAATTCTTTCTTTCTTTTTTAAAAAAAGTATTTTTTTCTCTCTTGTAAGTTTTTTCGTTTATTAATAGTTTCTTTGTATGTGGATGTATTAAAAAATTATTATAGTTTAGAGAAAACATACTGGTTGAGATTTTGTTAACAGTGTATTTATTACTGTCTTTTAAAAGCATAAGACTTGGATTGAAAGCAATTCTTGTTGATGGATAAATATATATATATATATATGTAATGAAAGCGCAATTTTGGAAGCACTGAGATGTAGATGTGTAAAAATGCTGATCTCGAAGTTACTTGACTCTTAGAGCGTCCATCCATTTTGAAGAAGAAACAGTCGAGTTGGATTGAATTCTATATTTATTTAAATTCTCATTTGTGGTTACAATTCACTTGGCACTCTAATCGTACTTTTTTCCAGAACATTTACAATTTTGATACTATGGTGATAGAAGCGATCATAGCAGCAAATCATCTGGCCAGGAAAAAAGCGAAAGTGAGAGCAAGAAGGTGGGAATCGAAAGTTTCAATTTTAAGTTGTGCTTTACAATTTGGTGTATATATATATATATATAGTATTCTTAAAATTTCTCACAATTTTTTTGTACCTTGGCTTAATACTTTGTTCTTTGCACCTAAAAAGTGATTCTGGGCATGACTTGGTTTTTCTTTGGATTACATCTAAAAGAAAACCAAACTCGTTTCATCGGGCAAAAATTATGCGGCGTTTCTGTTTTGTGAGTGAAGCCACATGTATTCGAAAATGTTGTGTTCCAGTTCTCCAATCAGCATCGAGTGCCACTGCGTATCATCTGGCATATATTAGCCAATGAGCACAAACCAAGATCAAGGCTGTTATTTCGTTCATTTTGTTGTTGACCAATGTGAGTGCATGTGCTTTCGAGAAATAGTTTAAGAAGTTAAGATCTTTTGTTTTAGTTATGTCTACGAAAAAGGTAAAATACTCATGCACTTTTCAATAATCATACACAGATGACTTTCCTTCTATTATTTTTCCTTAAGGAAATGTAATACATTTGCAATGTGTACTGTTTGTCATTGCGATTTTTCTATTTCGCATGGTGGAAGGGCCGATGCTCTCAAACAAGTGTGTACGCAAAAACACAAGGACAACATGAATTCTGTTGGGAGAAAAAAAATTTTTTTTTACTGTGGAAACAAAGGACCAAAAAGTTATTAATGCCGAATCCCTGTTCTTTGCCTTTTTACTTGAACACAACTGCCAGTGAATGCATCAGATCATGCTGCAGCTTTATTCAGAAAAATGTTTCCTGATAGCGAAATCGCTGAGAAATATTTAAGTGCAAGGACCAATACAGCCGCAATTGTTAAAGAAATGGGTATAAGAAATAAATCTTCAGTTATTGACTGCATTAAAACATTGTCTCTCTATGGATGGAAGCAATAATACCGATTCAAAACTGTATCCAATTGTTGTTTCTTATTTTAATCCGGTTTCTTCAGAAACTGAGTGTAGTTTACTTTCTGTTCCCATCTTAGAAGGACATTCGACAGGCGTTATACTTCTAGAAATTCTGTGACTTGAAGTAAGTGTCTAGAATCGGTATTAAGGAATTAAATTTTATATCCACATTTTGTAATACAGTACAAAGTCTTTAATCCGGACGTCCATAATCCGGAATGATCTATAATCCGGACCTCAAAGCTACAAACTTTCTGCGCATATGCATTTACGCATGCATGTTTAATGTATAACGGACGGTATAAGCTAAACTAAAATTATCTAATTATCTATTTCAGTTAATGTTGCAGATTGCGTTGTTTCTCAATCTTTTAATTGGATCTGGCTTATTATTTTTTTGCAGATTGTTAGAGCAATTTTATAAAAAGTAAGCTTGAACTTTTGATTATGTCAAAAAGAGTTTTCGATTCTGGAGCTGCCAAAGGATCTACGAAGCGAAAGCATGTTTCGATGTCCATCAAACAAAAAGTGGAATTGCTGCAAAAAATGGATAAAGGCATGAAGAAAGTGACAGAGAGATTAGTGAAAACGAAAAAATTTCGATTGACAAGTTAGTCAGTATTCTCAGTACAGCAATTACAGGACTTGAACAGCGGAACTTTGTAACTGAACAAGAAATTATGTCTGTTTATAGAATTAAAGAGAAAGTATTAGCACATAAAACGAAGCAACTTAAACAACTTGCACTGAAAGAAATGTTTAATAAAGTAAACAAATAAATATTAAGCTCCCCCCTTTTTTTTTTTTTTTTGTAAATTTTGATACCCTTTAGATCATAATTGCTCTTTATTTCATAAATTACGGTTTCATATTTTTAATTTTATAATTTCTGCATGCCATCTTACCAGATTTAAAGTAATGATCTATAATCCGGAAAAACCCCTAATCTGGAGTTACCAAAGTCCCGACGAGTCCGGATTAAACACTTTGTACTGTACCCTGTATTTGTATATGAGGGAAGCAAGTGGAAATGTGTAAGATAACCCTTTAGTGATTTTATATTTACATCCTAGTGTTTTTTCTTTCTTACAGTGTACGAAATTAAACTGGGCACATTGGATCAAGATGCAGTAGCTGATACAGAATGGTCTTTACGTCCATATACAAATACAGCAAGAAAACAGCGATTCATTAGTAAAGATCCTATGTAACATGCATTTAAATAGAAAATTGTATATATTAACAAAAAGGTATTTGTTATAAATAAATGTTTTAAAAAATCATGTCTGAAGTGAAACAGGACTTTAGAACTTCTTACAGTAACTTGGGTTTTTAAGCTCTTTATGTCTATGTAATACAGTAGACTCTTAATCAATGAGACATCCTATACAACAGATTTCTTCTTTACAAAACAATAGGAAAATTAGTATCGTAAATCATCAGCAGTAAACAAAATTGTTTATGAGAAATATAAAAAGGGAAAGGAGATTGCATGGAATAACAGTGATAACATATGTTATATTATTTGAGAATTAACATTCCAGATTATGAACAGTTTCAATAATTTGACATATATAAGCATTGTTAAATCATCCCTTAAAAATAAACTGCTGAGTTGTAAAATAAATCAACTGTGCACACATTTATCTTGAGTTTCATGCTGACTTTTATGGAAATGCAAAAGTAATTAATATAAATAGTATATACTGTGCCCCAAAAATAAGTAACTTACAGGTGCTTTCCTGTTGGCTTCACCTCTCTTACCATTAACCTTGATTTGCTATTTCTGACATTTAATATTTAATAATAATAAAATATTTAACATTGTCTTAAAGCAGATGTATTTCTAGGCACACCTGCAAAAAACTAGGTTTTTTTTATTCAAAATTCTCTAAGATACACATAAATTTACATATTGGAGCATTTCGGAAATTTGGCATCTCTTTTAATGAGTGATAATAATGCCAAATGTGGTTTACGCATTTTGTTAAATTTATTTGAAAGTATAAACGATGACTTTTCCCCCCGCTCGTATAAAATGAAAACAAGGAAGGGAAAATAGGTTGCTATAAATTAAGAAGTTTGCCAAGTAAATTATTCTTGGCGAAAACTAAAAAAAAATACGCCAAGATAAATTTTTGAATTTCTCTATAAATTTTGCACCAAATTTTACAGAATTTAATATGTATGCATAATTCAAGTTGTAGAATAGAAATATGAAAAGAAATTGGCATGTCATTTCAGAAAAAGTCCAATTTTGTGTCAAAATACCTATGTTAGAACGATGCTATATATAAATCTAATATATATCCTAAGCCGCACTTTTGACACATGAAGAACGCAAATTGAATTTCGTCAATTGGCCCAGTAGAACGGGAGATATAGAACTGCCCTATTTTTTTTCAACCACAGAGAACAGTATGAAGTTGGGCCACTAACTGCTTTTGACTGATTAAAATAATCATTGGCTACACCAAGTGATAGTGAAATCAGCATCAAATTAATTGAAGATGACTATAGAATTTGTTATTGCAGAGCTGCCAGCTCTCTCAGTTAAAGTAAAAAATTTCTGATCTGTCAGCACATCTTCCTGTTACTCATTCTCTTTCTTTTAAATTTGTTTGAATTTAGATCATCTCTTATAATTTCAGAAGAAATGTTGATAATCTGGTGTTAGAGCAAAAGAAAATTTGGTTAACCTCTGCTTCCCCCCCCCCCAAAAAAAAAATTAAGCCAAGTGGCATTTTCATATCTTAAATCAATTAAAAGATCTTAAATCTCTAATCAATTTTCTCTCAACTCTTTTAATCAATTAATCTCATCTCTTAAACCAATCTGATGTGTTACAAAGATTTATAAAACATTTTATGACCATTTAACTCTCATTTAATAAAAAATATGGTGGAATCTTGGATCACTAACAAACTATCTGAACAAAAAAATGCCTCAGTTTATGAACGGTGTTGTTTTGAGTCACGAACACTCAAATCAGCAACATATGATTTTTAAAGTGTTTTGAGGTAACCTGTGCCACATAACTAATAGTCGGAGCATTCTGGAAAAATCATTTTAAAATTTTCCATTGCTCAACTTTCAGCAAAGCTTGTCAGCATGCAAATAAGTGATTTACTAAAGCTTTGTGTTGACACTCTGCAAAGCGTAAGATAACATTATCCCGCAGCAGTGACTTTGGCCATGAAGAAATTACCGATTTTTTCAAATTAAATTGCAGACAAAGTCTTCGAGCACTTGAATTTTTTAGGGGGGTTTTGTGATTTCCTATCTTTACATAGAACTATGGGTGAGAAGACGTAAAGTCAATAGAGGATCAATGAGCTCAATAGGAAAGAATTACAACTTCAGATGCAGCAATGAAAGGCAGTTTTGCAAGAAATAACTGCAGAAGAAAAATGAGAAAAAAATTATCCTAGTTCTTTGATCTGTTAAATTTATGCAAAATGGAGTAAGATAAAAAGTTTTCACATAACAGTCAGGGTTCATAGTGGTCCTTATAAGTCCTTATATTTGAAAATAAAATATAAAGGCCCTTATAGGTGCTTACTTTTTCTTTAAAGCCCTTATTTTTTTGTTTTTAGTGCTTATATTTTGCTTTGAGTTTTTTTTTTTTTTTAATGAACGCGCTATTTTTCCCCGTACCAAAGCCGAAACTAAATAAACAACTTTTCTTCCTAATATGGAATGTCAGATGGTGAATCATACTCCCGGAAATAACTTTTCCCCTTTCTCTGCATTAACATAACCTTTGGTGTGCACGAAGAGTACAGACAGGTGCCCGTCGTTCTATTGGTCAAAGAATTACGAAAGCAGTAGAAAATTCCGCTACATTCGATATTCTTTTCCTCCCACCCAAATATTACACACGTTTGAATTTCTATCAAGATCTTAATAATTTGCATTCTCATTCCGCTTGGTCAGTTCATATTCGTGTTTATTATGATCGTTATACTTATATTATGAGCATATATATGAATGTTTATAATAACATAGTTGCAGTAACTGCTGAAGTATAGTAAACTTTCAAAAATGGTTGTGTTTTAACACAGATTAGCTTTCTAAGGAATAATATTCGGAATGGCTTAAATAAAGGAAAAGTAATCAAATAGTCAAAATAATTTTGTTTTTTTTGGCCAATACATTATACACTACGAAGACTGGGAGGTTCTCCCCTTTCTCTGCAAAATCTCGAATATTGAAACTATTATAGTTCGCTGCAAAACAAGCAGCAGATTTTTTTTTTTTTTTTTTTTTTTTTTGGTCACTTTCCAATCTGGATTGAATAAGGACTAAAAGTTCTGCGGTCTATCAACCCAAGCGAAGAATGATTCTTTTCCGGAAATTTAACGCCGTCTGTTGAAAATTAGAATGAAAAACACCCCAGTTATTTAGTTCTTTATTCTCCCAATACCGGCAGCTGTTGATTCCAATTGCATAATATCACGTAGGGAAGAATTACAGCGAACCTATTGTGCAATAACGTTTGCGATATTTTGCAGAGATAATTAATTTTGATGTTCTGTCCGAGATTTGTTTATGAACACTTAAAAGAGTTTTACTATGCTTGCTAAGCAGAATATTTTTCAGTTCCATTGGCTTATTTTTATATGATGCGCATATCGAAATGTCAAAAGCATTTATTAAAGGGAAAAATTTAAAGAGCTGTTACGCTCGACTGTCCAAATATTCGCCAATTTCCAAGTATGCGGGTTAGTTAAGCTTTTACCGTTAAAGGATGACTGCTTGAAGCAAATTTCTGTCTTCTGATTTCAGAAATGTTCCTCTTTTTTACTTAAATTACTTTGCTTGCAATATCTGTTAAGGGAAAACTGATATACAATGAAAATTTAGAAAATGTTCAGAATTTAGATTTAAATTTTTTAAATATCAATATGAATGGAAACATAAATTGTATTTATTATTAGGTTCCAAGCGAATACAATAAATATTCCTTATTATTATTTATTTTCTCTATTTTGAACTGAAATTTCATCATTGAATCTTGTAATATAGTTTAGTTCTGCAAAGTTTTTTTTTCCTCTCATTGTAAACTAGTTCTGTAAATTGAACTGTTATTTAAAATTTAAAAAAAAAAGTATTCTCTCTTAATAAATACTGCATTTCTCATATTTTAAATTACAAGTCTAATTTTTAAGGTTATGCAGTTGTGTATAATGTAATTAGACAGGTGCTTATTTTTTTTCTTAAAATGTGCTTGAAAAGTGCTTATAAGTGCTTATTTTTTTAACTAAAATGTGGCTATGAACCCTGACAGTATCACCCTTATAAAACAGTAGCAAGCTACATAAGCATTTTCAATAACAATGCCATGTCTCACTTAAGAAGTATTTTAAAACATAGCCCCCCCCAAAAAAAAAAATCACATTGGACATATTTTGAGTGGAACAGAGGTCTAGTGAATCTCAAGCAGAGTAGTGCTTAGAGACAAAGAAAAGATGAAAGAAGATGCATCTTAGAGATTTATCTGATGTTTTTACTGAAGGAAATTTCACGTCCAAACAGTACCATCTTCTTTGTCATTTTCCATTTATGCTGTTTTCTTTACACACTCTCTTGCGTACAAGTGCATTAAAACTAAATTAAATTTTCATCTGTTTAACACTGTACTTTTTTAATATTATATTGAATAATTTTGAGTGTTTTTGGGTTATGAACTTGAGTGTAAAGTTAAAATAAGCAGTCATCTGTGGTCCCAGAATGAATTAATCCATTTTACATGAATTCTTATGGGGAAAACATTTTAGGTTGATGGACGATCTTCAGGAAAGAATTAAGTTTGTAACCCAAGGTTTGGCTGTATATGTATTTAATATTGCTTTGAATTAAGGATATATTATTAATCTTTTTGTATTAAAATATGCATGTTTATTGGTAATTTTATTTTCATTCTGATTAAAAGTGTTTTAAAAATATCTTTTTTCTCTTTACCTGGGTTTTCATCAAAATAAAAATTTTAAAAAAATTATAGAATCAAATGAAATTAGCTGAAGTATTTAGTTAAATTATCTTCTTGTTTAACATTTTATATTAAAATCATACGGTAATTAATTTGAGTATACATATTATGCATCTGACTTTAAATAAAATTTGGAATCATATGGTACAAAAACCTCTTATTTTTCCCATGTGTGAAATTTGGCAGCTCTCAAATTTTTAAGCCAACCTGATCTCTCTACAAATCGAGTTTGATTAATGGTTAGCATTTGTTTAGTTAATAATTTTAATTCCTATCAAATAAACTGAGGATCTAGTTTCCTACCA